CCCTGATGTGCTCTCCTTGTGTTGTGATCACACTCCTGCCCTCTCGTTTTTCCAGGCCACAGGAGACCCTTACTACCTGGAGGCAGGTCGCACCATTATGGACAACCTCAATCGCTTTGCTCGTGTTCCCTGCGGCTTTGCAGCAATGAAGGATGTACGGACAGGCAGCCACGAGGATCGGTGGGAACGATAGACTCCTTTTTTGAATGACGATTGTGAAATCAGGCACTGTGTTTAGATATGCTTACACCACATTAGATTTGCATACAGGAGATAATGCATGGGCAAAACAAAATGTTATCACATTCGATGGTGTGCCATCATTTAATCTTTGGATGGGGATTGTGGCAAAAGCATTTTATAAACTACACTGGGAGAAGATAGAAATCTGGTGAAGGTGTCTCCGATTGCTGAATCAAACATGTGCATCCATGTCGCTGTGCAGTAAGGAAACTTCTTTGCAGTTCCCAGAAATTAAAGAATTTATTTGGTCTTTTTTCCCCAGAATGGACTCGTTCTTCCTCGCTGAGATGTTTAAGTATCTGTTCCTGCTGTTTGCTGAACTGGACGACATACCGTTTGACGTGGAGGACTACGTCTTCACGACTGAGGCACACCTGCTGCCCCTGTCTCTCTCCATGGCCCCTCACTCCTCGCCTGCTCCCTCAAATCGAACGGTGACGAAAACGATTCCACTGTAACGAAACTTTTAGAAAGTGATGAAAGCATGGACACCTTTTGATTTAAACGTCTGGTTCCTGATGTTTCAGTCAGATGAGGAGCTGGACGACTCAAACTTTGACTGGACTTGTCCCAATACGCACCTCCTGTTTCCTGACCCTGCCTTCCCTCGCATCCTGAGAGAGCCGATCCGTAGTGCCGTTGATAAGAGCTGCCCGCGCCCTGCCCCTTACAGGTATGCACGCTAAACAGGTTAAACCGGGCTGCCAGTAATGATCTGTTTTCTATAGTCGCTCACCTCTTCTGTCTTTCATTTTCTCTGCTTCTTCCCATGCCTCCTGTCAGGGAACCTGGTATGGGCCGTCCTCCCCTCAGGGCTCAGGACTTCATGGCAAACAACCCTGAACATCTGGAGCTGCTGAGGAGGATGGGAGTCAGTCTCATCCACCTAAAGGATGGCAGGGTTCAGCTGGTCCAGCATGCTACACAGGTCAACACCACACAACCCAGATGAACAAACACAGTATCCATAGCTGAGATAAGTGGGTTTACTGCTGCTTCTCAGCTGTTTCACTCTGAGCATTAGAATCAGAATAACCAGGTTTAAGAAGCTCTTTACGAACCGCTCTGACCACACAGTCAGTCTCTGGAAGCAATGGGGGAAAAATATCTTTTAAAATCTGAAAATATTTCTTTATAATTTATAAGTAATAAATGCAGAAGAGCATGTGCGCATACAAGATATCCGACATTTTGGGCCAGATGACTTTCACAGGTCTTTTCATCCTTTAAACGCTCTCTCCCGCTCTGTCGCCCGCAGGCGGTGAGCGCAGTGGCAGCGGAGGACGGCGTGCGGTTCATGCAGGAGATGATGGAGCTGTCCAGTCAGCAGCAGAAAGAGCAGCTGCCTCCGAGAGCCATTCAAATCGTCTCTCATCCATTCTTTGGCAGGGTGGTGCTGACCGCCGGCCCGGCACAGTTTGGCACGGATCTGTCCAAAAGTTCCACAGGGGTGAGTGGGCTCGCCAAGCTTCGGGGTTACAAGTGGTCACTAAAGGGTCCTTCTGTTGTTTTTGTTTTTTGTAAGCGAGGCGCTCACGTTTCCTCTTCAGGATCACAGATGGAGAGACGAGTGCTTGCTCGCAGAGCTCTGAGATACGTGCTGTTAGTGTCGGTCTTTGTTCTTTCTGTAACTTCGCCTCTTTTCCGCCTCGTCTGTGCAGGTGCGGGGCTTTGTCACTGTAGCCGAGCCCTACAGCGGCTGCAGTGAGATCGTTAACGCCGAGTACATCCAGGGTCACATCGCTCTGCTCCAGAGGGGTCAGTGCATGTTTGCAGAGAAGGCCCGGCACATCCAGAAGGCTGGCGCCATTGGAGGCATAGTCGTTGGTGAGCGCGAGCAGCAGATGACTGCTCAGTGACTAGATTAGCGCTCGACAACCTAATTATCTCAAAGACAGCCAGCCCAGTAATTTCTGCTCACAGCATCGTGATTAAACAGCAAAGCAACACTTTTCTGACCAGATTCACGAACAATAAGTTCTTTTTATGTTTCATATAGAAAAACGAGCAGCTGTTTTAAAAAACAAAAAAACCCATATCATTGCAGACGATAACGAGGGCAGCAGCAGCGACACAGCTCCACTCTTTCAGATGGCGGGGGATGGCCGCAGCACCGATGACATCACCTTGCCTCTCCTCTTCCTGTTCCACAAGGAAGGCAACATCCTGCTGGAGGCGCTGAAGGAGTACAGAGAGGTGGAGGTGCTGCTGAGCGACAAAGCCAGAGACAGAGGTGTGACACTCTCCCTAATGGTTCCTCTTTGTTCCTCTCCACTCGGTTCGTGAGACTCATCACATCAGTGTGCTTATTTATGCCTCCGCTGACTGAGCCTTAACGTGGCTTCATAAAATAAAGATGGGCTGCAGGGATTCGGGCATTATTTGAAGTCTCAGAGCTTGTGGCTTATTCCAAAACCACCCACTTGTTGTGGTTATAATGGGAAATGGGGGAGGTTTGCATCCTTATCGCTCTTTCCCTCCTTTTCTCTGTGCTGTGTAACGGTGCCTTTCTCTCTTCTCTGTCCTGCTTTCTTCTCTTTCTTGCATACTCTGTCCTTTTTGATGGGCAGCGGCCATATTCAAAGGTAAACCTCTTCCTGGAAGCCTGATCGAGGGCAGTAAGTATGCGCTTTTTTTTTTTTTTTTCTCTCTCTTCTTTAATCTCTGTTTTTCCTCTTTGTAGTAATGCTTGACGGTCTTCATCCTGTGCAGTCTGGCTCGTTGCCTCAGGTTTCTGTTTCTGACTTTCACAGAGAAGCTTGGTGCAATCACAGAAATGTGTCATTTGCTATTTCCTCCCTCGAAGAGTTTAAGTCATAGCAGCCTTTTCTGTCTTTGGTCATCATAGGTTTCACAGGAAGGCAGGACAGTGACAGGGTTTGACCACACTTATCTGCTTTTACTTTGATATAAACAGCTGTAAAAACAAATCTTTTTAACGAATCCTGAACAGTTTAAAGAGAGGCCGTTATTATGAGAATGACTTCCAGTTGTACATCTGCACCGTAGGAGCGGTTGGGTCTGAGCATCTGCTGTGCACTCTGCAGACCCTGGATCTCAGATCCTTTGATTAACGGCGAATCTGTGCCACCACAGAGCCACTGTGACATCATAATGACCAGATCGCCTGCACCCATCTGCATCTGAATCATGCAAGCCTCTGGGTTAGCGGCAGTCCTAAACGGGCGCACTCGTTCCTTAACTCGCTCACAATCTGCAGCTGAAAAAGCGGCTGCATTTTTAGAAGAGGTAACAGACTGAAAACGCTTTATCGCTGACCAGATCTGTGTCAAATTCACACTGCATCCGTCTGCCAGGTTCATTTTCGCAGCCGACTCTCAGTTTAGTTGTGGAGCTATGTGAGGAAGGTTTTATCTTCTGGGAAACATGACTCACATTCAGCATCATGCTGTTTTAGTTGTCAGCCTCTTGATGAAAACGGTTCTATTTTTGACTGAGAATGGTTACCAGGAGGCATCTATAGATTGCAGAGGAGGGAGGGGAGGAGTGTTTGTGTGTAAAGCTGTTTCGTCTCACGCCCCTGCTTCCTTTTCAGGTGCAGATGTGCAAGAAAGGGAGGAGGACTGCTTGACTGAGGCAACGACTCCCACCTCACACGAACCTATAGGCCAGTCGCAGATGAGCACGGTGGAGCTAGACGAGAGTGCTCCGGAGGAAGTCAGTCCAGTGGATGAAGATACTAGTCCTGCAGAGGAAGTTAGTGCACCAAAAGAGGAAGTCAAACCTGCAGAGGCGGAGCCGGCTGTGGCTCAGCCTCAAGAGGACAGAGACTCGGAGAAGGAGGAGAAGCCAGAGGAAGACACGGACTCAAGCAGCCAGTCGGTTGACGAACTGCTGGCTGATTGGCGAGAAGACTTGGAGGCCTTCAAGCAGATGGAAAAGGATGAGCTCTGACAGACGTTAGGTGCGTTCTGCCCTGTGACTGGTCTGATCCCGCTACGGGGAGCGACCGCGAGGTGTCACGTGTCACCGGCCTCAGTCTTATGAATCAAAAGGAAGCTGGGGATGATGCATTCTCTTGCCCTCGGCAAATGGTATCGCGAGCCAAGGCGACCCACGTACTGTCTCTGGGCCATAAGGGAGTTGTTTTTAGGTTCTTACACTTTCTGTTTTATTTGTCTGAGCAGATTCTATCTGATGGATTATGACCATGACATGGACCACACTGTTTCTAACTTTGTCTCACTTTCCACTTCACATTACTTCACTGTTGTTCTCTCTATGCATTTCTGACCACTTTAACTCAGTGGCTTTCTCACAAATTAACCCACTGACCAATCAGTTTTATTTAAACGTGTTCATAGGTTTACTTGTTTGGTGGTCTCGGGCCTTATTGTATGTACACGTTGACCACAGTTGATGAGGATTGGTGATGGATAAGCTGCGGGATCACCAGGCTTGATATTGCTGAAGGCTTTACTAAGTTGCGTGTCGGTGTAAATATGTATGTTGACTGAAATTACTACAGGGCTGTTTGCTCAGGTTCTGGTTCACACCACAACAGCCTCTGGACCATGTAGGGTGAAGCAGACACACCCTCAGCAGCACGACGGGATGGATAACGGCGCCACAGGGGGGCACTGTGGGATCTGCAGTAATAAGCCAATAAGTTGACAGGGTGAGAATAAATAAAAACGAATGAGAGGAACTTGCTGTCTGAACACAGAGTGCTTGATTTAATAATAAAAAAAAAAAAGTCAAACAGAAGGTTTAACAATGTCGCTTTCCTGTTTTACTGCACCGGACTGTTCTCATGTGATTAAAATGTTCCATTATTTTTATCTTGTTTGAGAGGAAATGATGAACACATGCTGGCTTTTGTGGAACAAAGAGGCAGGAGATGTGAAAATCACTTCTGTTCCGACAGAGGTTTCTGTGCAGTGGGCGGACACCCCCATCAAATCACTCGAGTCAATGTGACAGACGTGTAATTGGGAAATTGTCAGTATGCGCCATGGTATTACTGTCAGAGTGATTCAAACCCTGCTGCAAGAGTGCTCATCATATTTAGCAGAAATATGTATTTAAATCAGTTTTTGTCACTTGAGTAGAAGTACAAGTATCTGCTGAACCGATCCCATGTTTACACTCGCTGGCGGTTATTTTAATCCGGTGCCAAGAAATGAAAACACAGTAAAAGTACACGACAGAGGTAGGTGAGTACTCGGTACATTTCCAGCACTTTTGTTTATGTGCACATTTACGTGCGTGTCTCATGAATGCGAGCGGCTCTCCTGCTGTTCAGCGCCTTCGGAGCGTTTTTACGCAGCGGTGATGTGCAGCTCGGGCCCGGCGCTGATTGGTGGCTCGGTGGGGCACTCCTCAGCAAGATGGCTGCATTGCTGCGCGCAATAGTGGCATCCTGGTGAAATGACGCAAGCCACAGTTTACGTTCAGTCCTCGCGGCTCCGAGCCTGAGCTCTCCAGTCTCCATAGCGCAGATCCCGCCCGACACAGCCGGAAGACCGCCCGACTCTCCTCCTCCACCGGACCGAGTGGAACCGGTTCATTTGAGTAAGTAGCAGCGGGGATTGCCTGTTGATGTGTCCCAGAGGTGCGGTTTGTCCTGCTGTTCGTGGACTCTTTTGTTGTTGTTTCCCGAGTGTCCGTGATTACCGGGCGCTCTCCTTCCTGCACACTGTCGATGGTTTCTCGCTGGCGGGGCTGGCCGTGGGGCTAACGACGCTTTGTTTCTGTTTCTCTCGCTCGTTTTTAACTATCATTGTTGTTACTGGTGGTAAAATCCACGAGGTGCCCACACGGAGCTGTGTTCCTGTCTCGCGTTTGGACTGTGTGAATGCGCTCGCTCGCTCGCCTTGGACAGCGTTGGCTCGGCGCATTTCAAATTTTCCACACATCCTGGCGGCTGTGCCAGGCTGTCCCGCTGCTGGGAGCCCGTGTGTGTGTGTGTGTGTGCGTGGGGGGGACACTCCTCACAGGGAAGAGCAGCTTTGGTCGAAGCTACAGGCCGTTAACCTTTGTGGAAATGAAACTATGAGCACACGCACACAGCACTGACTCCCCCTGTGGGGAACAAAGCTCCCAGTGTCTCCCTGTAGCACAGCTGGACACAGCTGTTAAGCGGCTCGAGCTCCAGGACAGAGCAGAGCTCTGTGGCCGGCCATGGGCTCACACCTCTGCTGCTGCTGCTGCTGCTAAACCTGTGGTACAACTTCTGAGCTGCCTTCTGTCCACAGCAGCCTTTTGGCCTGCGGGGGAACGACCTGCTGATCGTCTTTGTTCCTCATGACTGCCTCAGAGGAAGACAGAAGCTGCTGGATTGTATGAACAAAGTCACAGCAGCCAGGATTACATCTGATACACAGACCATTTGCAGCTCATTAGCTCAAAGTTACCGAGTCTGTTTCAGATGGATCCTTCCTTCCTTCCTCAGACACTATGAAGCACACCGGATCGCCAAAGGCACTTCAGAAGTTTCCAAACCGCCTTACTGGCTGCTGCCTTTAAATGTGCCATATGGTCATTAGCTACTGTAGACTACAGCGTGCCATCAGCAGCAAATCATTACACCCTTTGGTGGCTGTGCAGCTCTGGTGTAGCCAGACAGTTAAAGGGGACAGCATCCATCACCTGCAGCTCCCATCAGGGCCAGACCAGCAATCCTGTGGGTGGATGTTGTGGTGCCCCTCCTGACTTTAGCCTTGTTTTATCTCCATCTATCTGCCTCTCTCCTCCACACTCCCTCCCTCACTTGTTTATCTGTTACTGTGTGTGTGCTTGTTTCTCACACATGCCTTTCTGTTTACGGTGGCTGAAATATAAACGTCTCACTCCTCCACACTCCTTCTCTTCCTCTCTATTCTGAGTCCTTCTGCTTCTTCCTTGTCCACCTGTGGCCTCCTCACCTTCAACTGATTAAAAGCGATCCAGGTGAACACACAGGCGCTCATAGGGTCATCCCGCAACACCTGTCGTGTCATCTTGTGGGGAAGTGGAGGGTTTCCATGGTTACCGCAGGATGTCTTCTCTGTCTGTGGGTGTGGGAGGGAGTTCCCGTGACTGTCTCTTCCATCCAGTTTGTGTTCGCTTTGCGGGCATTGTGTTCTGTGGGAGGTGCAGCTGAGTGCTGTCAGCTGTGATAAGGTAGTCTGTATTGCAGTGTGGAAAGCACAAGGTCAGCACAACTCAATCCTCCAGGTTCACTGTACCTGTCAGTTTGACTGAGGGCGTCGCAGGCTGATTAGGTTTTCTACCCGGCCGAATAAACAAAGTGCAAGAAGCAAATGTTGCAATACTAAGCCCAAAAAATCCGCACTTTGTCATTAGCCGCCGCTGTGCTCCTTCTGCTCCGTGCATTCCTGTTTATTTTGCATTCGGTGTGCAGATCGGTGGACGAGGGCTGTTTCTGCCACCGGTCTGTGTGTGAGTAGGGATTGGCTGAGTGGCCTGCACACATGCTTTCTGTCACACGACGAAGGGTCCTGTCTCTGTGTCCCTGCCTGCGTTTACAGTTCAGTTCGTGTTCAGAGTCCAGCTGGGATGGAGACATGGGGACAAACTACAGTATTGATTTTGCTTTCCGTTTCTTTTTCTTTTTATTCGCCTGTTTTCCAATCTCTACTCTAGTTAAAGGGTCGCTGACGGGGTCTCAGCTGTGGAGCTGTTAATGCACAAGTAGGTGGTGGTGAAAAATTATATAAAAGGTCAGTGTTTTGGAGGAGGGGGGTTCCTGTTGGCAGTATACCAGTTCCATCTTCCCATACTATGACACCCTTGTGTGGCTGTTAATGCTCTGTTAGAGCACTCAGCTCTGTTATTAAGCATGTATGAACTGAGCCATGGTTGTTGGAGCCCAGCTTCCAGTACCACCAGCAGACATCAGGGCCAAGATTTCAGCGTCTGTCTTCCAGGCTTCACAAGATGGTAGCTGATGGTTATCTGATGGATTAGACTGTTTACCTGCGAGTTTACCTGTGCTCCGTAGCATTTGGACTACAAGCCGAACCCAGAAAGCTTTGTGTACTAAAAATATGGTCTCTCACCTACAAATTCTGCATATTGATGTTTGGAGTCTGTGCATAAAGATGAGAGTGCAGGTTGGTTTTACCTTTCAGCAAAACCCTAGTTCCTGTTTAGTCTAAGCATCTTGTGCACAAACATATCTGGAACTTGCTTGGTTGTTCAAATATAACAAATTCATCACAAGCAGAACTACGTGTGGCAAAACACTTATCCTTCACATGCATGTCGTCGGCATCACCGTATTGTAAATCATAATAATGTCTTTCTGGGTGTCTTTAGGGTAAACTGCTGGAAGGTTTTATAGCGTGTGTGTAGGATAATGGACCGACCAAAAGCACTGGTTTGCATCTGAAAGAATAACATTGCAGATGCGATACCAGCCATGTTGAGATTTTAAACACGGGCTCGTTTGCAGCCACCTGAAGAGGCGAAACATTCAGTGTGTTTTTATTCCCACACAAACAGTCGTCTGAAGGGTCTTGGCCAGTCGTCCTGCCAATTATGCAAAGATTCGTATGCGTAATTTCTTATGACTATTAATGCGGGCACGGTTTTAATTGTGTGCCTCGTGGGTTGGTTTGTTGGCAGTTCAGATGGATCTGGGTAAGAAAACATAAACACGTCTGACCTCGTGTGCCTGCTGTGTTGGAGGAGGCCGACACCATCAGCTGCGCAGCTGTCTGTCAGCAAACGTGATCAACAAGAAAATCGGTGATGTAAAAACATAAACCACCTGAATGCTCGGAAAGCTCCCGGCCCAGACGGCGTGTCTCCTGCCACCCTCAGACACTGTGCAAACGAGCTGGCCCCAGTGTTTTCTGGCATTTTCAACTCCTCACTGCAGGCATGTCATGTGCCTGCCTGCTTCAAGTCCTCCACCATAATCCCTGTCCCCAAGAAACCTAGGATCACTGGACTAAATGACTACAGACCCGTGGCTCTGACATCTGTGGTCATGAAGTCTTTTGAGCGCCTAGTTCTCTCCCATCTCAGGACCCTCACGGGCCCCCCTCCTGGACCCCCTGCAGTTTGCATATAGAGCCAACAGGTCTGTAGACGACGCCATCAACATGGCCCTACACTTCATCCTGCAGCATCTGGACTCCCCAGGAACCTACGCCAGGATCCTGTTTGTGGACTTCAGCTCTGCCTTCAACACCATCCTTCCAGACCATCTCCGAGACAAGCTTTCCCAGATGAATGTGCCTGATCCCATCTGCCGGTGGATCACTGACTTCCTGACGGACAGGAAGCAGCATGTGAGGCTGGGAAAGAATGTCTCGGACTCCCGGACCATCAGCACCGGCTCCCCTCAGGGCTGTGTTCTTTCTCCTCTGCTCTTCTCCCTGTACACCAACTGCTGCACCTCCACCCACCAGTCTGTCAAGCTAATCAAGTTTGCAGATGACACCACCGTTATTGGGCTCATCTCGGACGGGGATGAGTCTGCCTACAGGAGGGAGGTTGAACGTCTGGTGTCCTGGTGCAGCCACAACAACCTGGTGCTGAATGCCCAGAAGACAGTGGAGATTATTGTGGACTTCAGGAAGCACACAGCCCCACTCCCCCCCATCATCCTGACTGACACCCCCATCACCTCTGTGGACTCATTCCGCTTCCTGGGTACCACCATCACCCAGGACCTGAAGTGGGAGCCCACCATCACCTCCGTCATCAAGAAAGCCCAGCAGAGGATGTACTTCCTGAGGCAGCTGAAGAAATTCAACCTGCCAACACGGACGATGATGCAATTCTACACTGCAATCATCGAGTCCATCCTCACCTCCTCCATCACCGTGTGGTACGCTGGAGCCACTATCAGGGACAAACAGAGACTGCAGCGTGTTGTGCGCTCTGCTGAGAAGGTGATTGGCTGCAGACTCCCATCTCTGCAGGACCTGTACACCTCCAGGACACTGGGGCGTGCAGCTCGGATCTCAGCTGACCCTTCTCACCCTGGACACAGTCTGTTTGACCTGCTCCCCTCAGGCAGGAGGCTCCGGTCCATTCGCACCAGAACCTCTCGCCATAAGAACAGTTTCTTCCCCTCTGCTGTTGAACACATGAACAATAACCGTATGACTGTTCCCACCACTAACACATGACCCTACGCTGTGTCACTGCATCATTCCATGTTTGGCACTGATCACCACCTGCACTCATGTATATATCTTTCTACGTAGCACTCTTAATTCTTATTCTCATGTATATATCTCATGTATAGCTCATGCACATATCTTTCTACGTAGCACTTTTAATTCTTATCCCTACTTTTATTTTTTCATGTCTATTTAAGTGCTATTTATGACACTATGTTTGCACTGAAGCACCGCAGCAATTTCCTAATGTTGTAAACCCGCTCAACATTTGGCAATAAACCCCTTTCTGATTCTGATTCTGATTCTAGAGCTCTACCCTTAATTAGCAGCAGTACTTTTACTTTGGAGAACCTGCACCCAGGATGGAAAATAATATTCAGCTATAGAGAAGTGCAAAAATTCACAAGTACAGCTTTTAAATACTGCATTTAA